TGGATAGCCTCATGAACAAATCTCTCATGGTAGCCAGATGGCTTGCAAAGAACCTCTGTCTTGGAGAAGTCAATGTCATGTGAAACTACTGAATTATAACAATGATCTGCCACGGCCGAGGTGTTGGTCCTACCGTGTTTTAGGTCTGCTTTGTGTTCACGAATGCGGTCCGAGACATGTCGTTTGGTTTCTCCAATGTAACTACTACCACAGAGACAACTTAGTTTGTCTTTCTGGAATCACATCTTTTACAGACGAAACCAGATCACGGATTTAATGTAATGTGTTGAATCGGACCTGGATCTTGTGTTTATTCAAGATTTTGGAGATCTTTTTTGTGATCCCCACAATGTAGGGTAAAGGGATGGTTTTGAAAGGCTCCTCAAGATGGTCCTTCTTCATGGTTGGAGTGATATCTTTGCGGATTGTGTAGTCGGAGTAACCATTAGCCTTAAGAGCTTGGTGTACGTGCTTGAGTTCACTGGCTATGTGTTCCTGGTCGGATATGCATTGGGCTCTATGGTGCAGAGTCTTGATGAGGGAATTCTTCTGGGATAGATGGTGGTGGGAATCCGGTTTCAGGTAAGCATCCGTATGGGTAGCTTTCCTGTAGACAGAGTGGCTCATTGAACCATCAGGTCTCTTTTTTTTATTAGGACATCCAAAAAAGGTAGCTTGCCATCTTTTTCGACTTCCATAGTAAATCTGATGGCTAGGTGTATGGAATTGATGTGGTCGAGGAATTGGTCTAGAGCAGGCCGGCCATGTGGCCAGATGACAAAAGTGTCATCCACGTACCTCTTCCATAAGGTTGGGCGCAGAGCAGCAGTCTGGATGGCGTCAGTCTCAAATTTCTCCATGAAAATGTTGGCTACAACCAGAGATAGGGGGGAGCCCATTGGGGTTCCCTCAGTTTGTTTGTAGAAAGTTCCATTCCAAGTGAGGTATGTATTGGTTAAGCAGTGTCTCACCAGGGGCGCTACCTCAGTGTTTAGTCCTTTATGAACCAAGTCTTCAATGATTGCGATGGTGTCAGGTACAGGAACTTTGGTGAATAAGGAAACTACATCAAAACTGACAAGCAGGTCGTCTGGGGACAGGGAAATGCCCTTGATTGTCGATACCAGGTGAGTAGAATTTTGTACCGCAGAGATGTTTTTTCCAGTGAAAGGCCGCAGGATTTCAGACAGAAAACGAGCCAGTTTGTAGGTGGGGGAGTTGATATTAGAGACAATGGGACGAAGGGGTGTATCTACTTTATGTATTTTTGGTAAGCCGTATAATCTTAGTGGCCTGGCAGCAGAAGGTTTCAACGAGAACTCTTTGGTTTGATCAATTAATGCAGTTGAATCAGAAATGATTTTGTTGGTTTGTATGACGAGGCTGTTGGTGGGATCTCTTTTTTATTTTTGTATAGCTGCCATCGTTGAGTAATTCTTGAATTTTGTTGTTATATTCTATTGTATCCATGATGACAGTGGCATTGCCCTTGTCGGCTGAGAGGATGACAATGTCATCCCTCTTTTTTAATTTATATAATTCAAAACGCTCATCTTTGCTGAGGTTACTATGTTTGTTTTCTCATTCATTTGTACCTGATGATGGTTGTTTGTGTTGCAATCGAAACGTCGTATTCTATTATTATTTAGTTTATTTCTACGTGACTTTACCGAAAGAACCAAAGAGTAATAGACTATGAATTCATCAAATCGGATTGTCTCCTTTTGTCAACAGAATCATTACTGAGGCGTCTATTCCACAGTTATTGATGATGTCCACAGTTCGTCTCTGTTGTCTGGGAGCTTTCCATTTTTTAATCATACTCAGGAGGTCAGTGCACACTTCTTCAAGAGTGACATCTGGAATAATTCTCATTGTCTAAAAAATACTCGCTCCCGCGGTATACATATTACACTATTTTACAGATCTACAAATAATAATTCCTCCACTAGTTTTGCAATTCTGTCCCTGTCATGTGTTATGGTTCCATCTTGCTCTCGCATGGCTACTCTTCCTGATTTACCAGCCATAAACTTCCCTTTTAAACTTTCAAACTAGAATAAATGTTATTTTACCCACTGAGCTATAGAGCTATTATTCAGAAGAGACCTGGCCAAAAATGATAGCTAACGAAGTGGCTTATAACGTGGAAATCTATAGCAGCCAAAAAACTCTTAACGCGTGTTTCTAAATGTAGAGGGGAAATCTGAAAAATCCACACAACCACAGGGAGAACATGCAAACTCCAAATATACAGGTGTCAGGGTCGGGAACGAACCCACGACCTCCTTCATACCAAGCGAAGCACTTCACATCTACGCCAACGTTGCACCCCCTTTCTACTTTCATACTCTCATTATTTGTTATGAAATATTCATCCACGCTTGTATTGTGTTTTTCAAATTTTGTTTGAATGGTTTGACGGTATTATGTGCAATTAGTTTATATTTGGCATTTCCATCCCTTTTCATATCTCTCCTGTTCTTCAACATGCCCTGTGTGTGTTTTTTTTTTAAATCTTATACCACAGTATAACTCAACATCACAATTTTGAATATTTTGTTACCAAATAAAAACTAAATTAACTGCACATTACTCAATGGAATACACAGCGAAAATCATCACCACCTAGCACCTAAACTTGCCAAGACTCTCCTGAAAAATAGACACGAGCCTCAGTAAGGCTTTGCTGCATAAACTGGTGAAATAATAATAAAACAAAGAACTTGGAAAATTTGGCAAGGGATGTTTTTTACTGTTTGTGAGCAAGTCTCGTAAACATGAGGGACCAGCAAAGAGTAAGGAGCCAATTCTAGATTTAATTGGATAAAACATCAGAAGAATGGGTTTCTTAATGAGCAATACATGTTTAATTTGGAAGGGATACAAATGGAGCGGGGGGGGGGAAGTGATTGTTGGTGCACCGGTTAGCGCACTGTACAATGAACGCAGAAAACAGAGCTCACTGCCCAGCCAAGGCTAAATGTCAGTGGCGAATGATATCTGATGCAGTCCTGGCTCTCCCCGTTACCAACGGACACTCCCGAGTATGGTGAAGTAGGATCAAACAACCCCCACGACTGACGCGGTGGTGGGAGGATGCCTTAAACCAGAAATGGCTTCAATAGGTTCCATCAAATAAAACAAGAAGCGACTTATAATCATGAAAAAGAGTGGTTTGCATTCTGCAGAGGAGAGCTTGGGACTGACCTTTGAAGGCCTGACAAGCTCTGTGTCACAGAGAGACAGAGACAGAGATATCTTGAATCAAAGTTTGTGGAGATGTAGCTGTTGTAACGAGTTTCGGTGGAGTGGAATGGGAGCAATGCAAAGACAGCGTTGTACACGAGTGGGCAGAGTCTGTGATGAAACTATTTTGCAAGGTATGCGTAAACACCACAAAGTTGTACAAATCCGTCATTGTCAATACATTTGTTCAATCTAGATTTGAAGTTTTCGTGACTGCAGGGATCCATACTCTTTGGTTCTTTCGGTAAAGTCACGTAGGTAGAAAATCAATTAAATCACGTGACGTTTCGGACGCAACACAAGCGTCCGTCATCAGGTGGGACAACCACAGCAAGAAACAATTGCTGAAGTGTTGCGCCCGAAACGTCGTGATTTAATTTATTTTATACCGACGTGACTTTCCCGAAAGAACCAAAGAGTATGAATACATTTGTTGTTTCATTTCTCCAGTTGTTGTTGTTGTTGTTATTATTTTATGAGTTTATCTGAGACTGGAAACTCTACACGAGCACTTATTAAGGGCAGCATGGCACACGCGTGAGTGGTGGGTTGCGGTCCACAGCACACAGCAGCACACACCGCCGCACAACAGCACACAGAGCGGCACAACACCACACATCACCACCATACAATGCCGCACGGCGCCAAACAACACCCCACACAACACCACACCACCAGACACCACCACACACCACTGCACAGACCCGCACAACACCGCGCACAACCACAGGGATGTGCATGTACCATACTACGGGAGTCTCAAGTCAGATTCGGAATTTGACCACTGTTGTGTTGTGCATGAGGGACAAGAATCAATCAAAGCGGGCCAGCATTTTAATACGGTGCACAAATCGCTTGCAAATAACGCAACCAAAACACACGATACCCACAGAGTGTGGCTCATGCATATATGCACACGTACATTTACACGTATAACACATTTTGCGCACGGCATGCATATTGATGCCACGATTGCGTTGCTGCTGAAGGGGCATGGCTACGCGCCGTGTGAAATCTCGCCAGCGTGCAACTCGCACGGGTCATTCGGGAGATTGGCAGCCTGTGGAAGGCAAGGTCTAACAGCAGCAGCAGTAGCAAAAGTAATAGCAGCAGCAGCAGCAGCAGCAAAAGCAGCAACACCAGTAACAGCAGCAATCACAATCGACAGGAGCGTCACTCCGTGGTAGTAGTAGCAGCAATATCTCTAGAAAAAGCAGCAGCAGCATTATAACCACCACCCGCAGCAGCAACATCAGCAGAAGTAGCAGCAATTCATCATCAAACAAAAACAGCAGCAGTAGCAGTATCAGCCGCAGCAGTGTGACAAGCACGCAGATGGTCTGCAAGAACATCATTTGCTTTGCTTGCGTTGAATAGTGAATGCCAGGAATTTAAACGTAGGCCTTTTTTTGCAACGTAATTGTATGCAAAAATATTAATCCAGGGCTTTATTTTTCTGTACATTGGACTATTGCAGTATAAATATTTTATTACAAACCCGGCGGTTAATGTACTGCCTGAATGCTCTGCTGCGTCCGGTGTCTTTGATAAGTAAATTGGTTCCACTTACAATGCATTACGTACAAGCAGAAATACAAAAGCGTCACCGAAGCGCCGTTGCCTTCATATGTAACCACCAGGAAATGACTGATAGATTAGAGCCTCAAAATTGCATCAAAATCAAATTTGCCGCAAACCGCGCCAAACTCTCGGCTCTTGTGCTAATTTATTAAAGCAGCAGTATCAATCACCTTCATCGCAGTGCCGAATTCCACGAAGTGTCATCTCAGACAGTGCATTGGGGGTTGTCGGTAGGCCTTGGGTGTACCATCTGCATATCTCTCGTGTCAGGGACGGGTACATTGCAGGAATAAGCAAGAGGCAATGGCTTTTTTTCTTCACCCTTCTTTACGCTGTGCTATTTCTGGCCACAGTGGATTCGTAGATTCTCCCAGCCTCATTAGGAAGCAACCAGCATCACTGGCTGCCAGGCACCAACCGATCCTCACCTCCCACGCACGCGTCATTCCGGTGGAGAGAGAACGAGTGAGTGAGAGAGAGTGAGTGAGAGAGGGGGTCGAGAGAGAGTGAGAGGGGTAAGGAGAGCAGAGCGTGAAATCTATTGTGAAATCTTTCATTTAAAAAGGGTGGGGGGTGGGGTGGGGGTTTACATAAAGCAAAGCATTAAAAAACAAAAAAAAACGAAATGATGAACGAAGCAAAGTGCCGACTACACCGAGCATCTTCTTGTTTCCTCTGATCGTGAAAAAGAGAGAGAGAGTGAGTGAGAGAGCGTGAGAGAGGAGCAAGCGACAGGGGGACCGAGAGCGGCGGGAGTTATAATAGGGAATGCATGCGCGCGAAATAATCATCAAGGGGGTTAGCGACTGTACGAGAGCAAAGAGACGGGACGTGGAGAAACAGAGCGACGCAAGAGAGGCGGGAAAGCAAGATAAAGAAGAGAGAGAGATGTAGGATCAAGAGCGCAATTAATCGTGAGGATACTGGATGCCACAGCAGAACAAATGCGAAGGAGACAGGCGAAGACGCAGAGTGAGGAGGAGGGAGGGAGGGAGGGGGGCAATAGGGTTTTTTGTGGCAGGGATTTCTTTCTCACTGAATATTTTACCGATCGCCGTCGTGGGTACGTGACCACCAGTAGCACACGGCTTTTTTGCGAGAGGTGTATACTGGATGTGGCGTGCCGGGCGCGGACATTTTTTTGTTCGGGTCACTGACCCGGTCAGGCCTGGCTGAAGTTAAAATTTTGGTTGTGAAGCGTGGGGTAAAGTCGAGGGCCCTCTGGTTTTCAAACAATGATTCGCATTTACGGTGCACCCCCCGCTGATGGATCGGGCTGATCATCACTCGTTCGAGGGAGCGATTGGACCGTAGGAACCAGGATAATGCGTGATTGAAAATACCTGAATCTTCAGGTAATTTTGTTCCACCTCCTTTACGGTATATATATAAAACAGTAAAGAAAAATAGATTTACAATTTACGCCACAAGCATTGTTTAATAGTCGTGATTCGCATGGGCAAAAATTGTATGTTGCATGAACGATGCTTCACGATAAATGTACCGTATTTCTTATTTAGTTATTCATGTATTGCCGTACAGTAGATTATGACTAATACTTTACCTTAAGACATTTAACAAGCTTGAAGATATAAAATTAGGTCGGAACTAAGCTATTAAAATTCTAAATAGTTTCCATAAAAATGAACGTTTAATTAACAGGCCGATAGTCGGAATAATAATTAGCATCATCAGTAGCAGCAGCAACTGCCGTATACAACGATTCCCTTAATAGCAAACTCTTGGGGAAGTGCCGTTAGCGAGCAACAACATCACCACTACCCGCAGCAGCATGATCATTGGAATTTGTTTACTTTGGCTCCACAAAATCATTAATGAGGAGATGGCAGTGATGGAAACATATCACGTACAGGCCCTATTTTGATGATTAATTACATCACAAAATCATCAAGAGGTGGCGATGGCTTGGGAAGGCCTTAATCCAGAAGTTGATTCACCATGGCTGGTGAAAATCGATGATAATGATGCTACGCAGAAACATACCCACGGCAGAAAACACATTAAACACTAACTGCTCTTATATCAGCTCGAGTTCAATTCGGTACCCCATTGTAGAGCCGGGGAAAAGGGGCGTCATGATGGATTTCGATAATAAGCAGTGTCGCGGACACAGAAAACCTAAGCACCATCCCCTTTACTTTGTCCACAAAAACGGCTGAGCGTCCTGGACGATCAATGAGGCAATTAAACCTCCATAGGATGTGACGGCGGTCAGTACATCACAGAGGGCAGCCACTCTAAACCTGGGCATGTCCAGCCACTACACCAGTGTGGGTCTAGGACATCACGAACATGACAGAGGTCACGAGTCTTACACGAACAGCAGTGAATTTGGCTGTGTTATGCTGACATTTGTGAGCAATTACGGGTTTTTTTTTTCCAATTTAAACCGCGAACTGGTCAGCTATCGTATTACATTCACCACATTCCCCTAATGACCACCAATTAGAATGCGGCTGATTTGATGTTGCAGCTGAACGGCAGCGGTTAAGTGACTAAGCTTATTGTTTTAATAACGATTAATACTCACCAGGTAATGTTTTCATTTCCAGGAAAGCCTCTTTGAGTTTAAAAAATCCGTTTTAGGTGCATCGTGCATTGGAATAATATGATGATTATAATGTTCTTTAAACAGAATGCCTTACTGAGTCTGAAGACTTTTCCACATTGGATCCTGCATTAGAATGTTTTCCCAATTCCATCCATACGTGTTTTACGTATGCAGAAAACCCCGATGGAGTAACCCAGAATAAAAAAAAATCCCACGCGTAACGAGGGACTAACACTTAATTCAAACGCCCGCACAAGATGGGATCCCAAACCCACTCGCTGTCTTGCCATTTCCTGGCCCACCTTTCGCTGCAAGCAATTCCAGGACTGCACCTTTACCTTTTGCGGTAGGGCACCGAATTTTTTTCGCCTCTGAATCGTTTATCCCGTGTGCGCCACCGACCGCGGCTGCGTTGTGTGCATCACGGCCCTGGAAGAGGAGGTGGTGGTGGTGGTGTGACATGACCTCTTGATTGACACCACGCGTGCTTGGGCCGTGTGATCTCACCACGGTTCAGAGGCACAGGATGGGGCACAAGCGTCACACACACACGCACGCATGCGATGATGATGAATCAAGCCAGAAATGTCATCACGGGCCCATACTCTCATTCGCCGCTCGGCTTAAATCTTTCAGTTAATATTCTGTTGATAACGTTGTTTTAACTGTACAGGGAACATGATATCAACTTTACTTTGCTAGCGAAAGCGATGTTATAATTTAAAGTATTTTAATGACTGCCTGCTATCCCCGGAAACAATACAATAACCAGGCAATGCTGTCTGAATATAGAGTGCTGCAGCTGATGACGTTATTGATGATAAAACACATTTCCTTCGTAACAACACAGTTAAAAAAAGGTTTACGTGGGTGTGAAATACTCTTTGAAAGTTGAGTGAAGCATTGAAGAAACGTCACAAGTGCCTTGGAAAGCGTAAACTTTTACCAAAGTAAAAATTCACCAACACATTCCTTGACCTGAAAAAAGAACATTACCACCTCCGTACCTCCGTCAGTGACACACACTGCCATGCAACTGAGTTAATGTGACAGGCAAATGGCCACTTTTGGAAGGAACGGACAGAAAAATGGGAAATGCAGCAGATTGTGACTTGCAGTGAGGGACAGCACTTTGCAATGCGGTGCATCAGAAAAGGCAAATTGCTTCATCTCCTGGACAAGCAGTTACGGTGTCACAATTGTGCACACTCTCCGTGCGAAGCACGAGGACGTTGCCGATTGCACCACGTGGGGACGGGCGGTTTGGGCGCGTGCGCAGAGATCTGTGCGGCAGTAGCAGTGGCAGCAGCTGCAGATTCGCAAATCGACTCAGGAAAATCGATGTCAACCTCGGGTTGGTGCCGAGCCGCATACGGAGCCAGCTCCTCCGGCTGTCCGTCTTTTGTTGTTGTTGTGTGTGCGGAGTGAAAAACGGCAAAGGAACAGCGTCCACTATGCACAGGGGTCATTGTGTTCTCGGTGGGGTCATATTGTTTAGTAATAATACAACAGTCCTTTATTTGTCTAGCAAAAAAAAAACTAATAGATAAAAAAAATCATGCTTCCACATTAGCTGGTTTAATAGGAAGTACAGTATATATTACTATATATTAATATACAGCTTTTTTTATTACCAACCCACTGACGGATGAAGACATCCCCAAGCCTTTCAATCGTGGGGGTTGTTTGACCGTACTTCACCACGCTGTCCAGTGCGGGTTAGTCAACGGAATGGCCAGGATCACTTTAGATATTTACTCGCCACTGATCTTAGCCATGGCCGGGAATGGAACTCAGGTCGTCGGGTTCATAGCGCAACGCGATAACCACCACGCTACTGTTCTCCGCCAGTTTGATAATAATAATAATGACCTTAATCAACCAAGGAATTTCCTCATTGAATCTAAAGGCTCTTAACGAGTGTACTGCATTGCGATGGTTGGGTCAATTCCACATTGGGTATTTTTACAATGCAGTAATAGCGTGGACTATATCCAAATAAATTATGCTAAATATATACAGACAGGTCAGTGGCTGCTTGCTGGACTGCCACCTGGGGGGCCACCTCGTAGCCCTGACTAACACTCATGAAATGTATGTTTGTTTAATGGAATTAAATAGTGAAAATCAGTTGTCTGGAAAGAAAGAGTCAATGATGACGTTATTGAGCATGTTCAGGAGGAGACAAGTGTGAGTGGAACAATCCAGAAAAAAATTAAATGTTGATTGGGCACATTCTCAGAGGTGAGAGCTTGGTAAACACATTTCTGCAAGGCAGGCTCTTGGGAAAGAGGCCAAGAGGCATACAAAAAGAAAGATGCTGCTTCATGACTTGAAGGTATCGAGGCTTTACCGTGAAATGAAGAAAAAACACACTTCATAACTGGTATTGGCCAAAAATCTCAATGTTGAAAATTTAACTGCAAAAGGATTCCATGGGGATTACACAGCAGCAACATTGCCGGTTGAGTGCGAACACTTGGCGAGACCCTATTGAAAAAGAGTGTTTCCTGAGTACACAAGCGATACAATAAGAATACTACATACTCAAGATGAAAACGTTTGTGTGTGCTAGTTTCAATGTTCAGGGTTAATAATCAGAACGCATAATACGTGTTCGAGTGTTGGCGGCAGATGGGAATCACAGTTGGTCCAGCTGTGCATGCTCTTAGCCCCTAGAGGATTCTTTGGTCATGGGCAACGTCATCGAACAATAAGAGGCATTGGAGTCCTCCGAGTTGGCCTGGTGTCTTGGTTTAAATCAATGTCAGCCGGTTTAAATTTCTGTGACCGAGAATATCACAAGATCTGACCACAATTGGACATTCGTTTTTTTTGGCAACGAACAAGGAGAGAAAACATCCCCAGACATCTTTAATTGGTCGTCATTTTAAAAATACCCATAACATTGTGGTTTCGCTGTACGGTACCAATAAAAATCAAAGTGACTAATACGAGTAAAACGTCCTGTTCTGCTTGTACACACGCCAACTGTCTCCCACCCAGTGATAATGCGACGATAACGATGATTCTACCAATACCAATGGCATTTATGCTGCTGCCGATGATGATGACGATAACTATAATAAATTATAACTATAATAAATAAATGCGCCGTTTAAAAATAAATTTATGCGAACCAACACACCTGAAGACGACCGTTTGAGTTATGGTCGAAACGTCGTGAGAATTTTTTTATTGTTTTATATATTTTATTATTTTGTTGTTTCCCTTCAACGTGACTTTACCGAAAAAACTAAGAATATGATGGTGTCTCCCTTGAAAAACAGTCCCATTGGGCTCTCGACTTGGTTAATGAGATTGGATGAATGATGATGATTCTAAAAAAGTAAGATGATAACGTTTCAGCCAACGATGAGAATGCTCACGATGGTAATTATGGTAATTATTAATGCCGCTACTGATTATTATAACAATATTAAGTATCATAAATAATAATTATTCACGATGGTTGCCAAATAATAAGTACCACCAGCCATGCCAATCCAATTTCTCAAGCAAACGACCTTTCCCTACTTTGTTAGGTGATGCGTGGGGGAGGGTGGTGAGGTTTGGCCGGGGAGTGTCACGGATTCCCTACTGAACATCTGTGAAAAAGAGCTTCATAGCTCATCGGATTCCTCCAGTCTAAATAAAGATTCTGCATTTGTAGCGCCACATCACGTTCCGTTTTCTCCGGGCTGAGTGAGTGCATTGGTAAATGATGCATGATGTTTACCGGAAGCCTTCGAGATGTACCACGTGATATTTGCCGAAGCCAAAAGGTACCGGAATCGTCGTCATCGATATCCAATGGCTTTTTGGCGATATTTGTATTCAGCCTCAGCCAAGGAAAGCGGGCTCGCTCAGGGAAATCCCGTATGCGCTACTCCGTGCCATATGTTTGGCAGAAACCTGTCACGCTTCTGCACCCCCTGGTGTCTGTAAAAGCGACCACGTTCTGCAGTGGGAATTGTGGATCGTGTTGATGCTGCAGTGCGGGAAAGTTGGTGTGTGGTTGGAGGGGGTGTTCGCATTATTGCTTTGCTCTGACGCCCCCCGATGACGACCTTCGGATTACAATTCTCTGAAAAGCGGGCCATGGGATTTTTTTGCCAAAGGCTCCACGTATATTGAGCATTATTGATGCGTCCAAGTATTGATTTAAAGTTTTCGTGACTGCAGGGATTCATATTCTTCGTTCTTTCGGTAAAGTCACGTAGAAGATAATTTTATTGTTTTATATTTTTATTATTTTATTGTTTCCCTTCTACGTGACTTTACCCAAAGAACCAAGAATATGCGTCTAAGTATATTGAGAAAGGTAATCTCAATTGGCTCTCATTTGGTTAGCAATAAGGAAGGCCACCACGCGTCCTAGTTTGGCAGGGACTGTCCCGGTGGTTTCAGAAAGTCTGTCCCGATCTCCCCCCCAACACCCGACCCAACAAAGCTTTAGCGAAATTCAGGATGTGCCCCCAGCTTGCAATGTGTTGGCCTGATGCTTGACTTATGGTGCGGTCAAAGGGCGGAGCTAATTGAGTAGTGGGAGGAGCTACCCGAGTAGTGGGCGGAACTACCGGAGTATCGGACCGAGCAATCTGTGTAGTGGGCGGAGCTACCTGAGAAGTGAGCGGGGGCTACCTGTAATGGGCGGAGATATCTGAATAGTGGGTGGGCCGATGAGCAGGTTGAACCTCCTTAACCCCGGCTTCTCTCCCACTTAAGTAAAACAAAATATTGCTGTGGTTAAATTTTGATTTAAAGCTTTCGTGACTGCAGGGATTCATATTCTTGGCTCTTTCGGTAAAGTCATGTAGAAGGGAAACAATAAAATAATACAAATATAAACAATAAAATTCTCACGACGTTTCGACTGCAACACAAGCAATCATCATCATCATAAGGTGTGAAAACCACAGTAAGAAAATTTGAAAAGAGTGGCGGGTTTTTTTTTTACGTTAGCACCACGGAGAGCGATTTGGCAATTTGTTCAGATGGACGAGTCCATCTATGTTGGAACATACGGTGGTGAGGCGCTATCACCCTTTCCTTGTCAAATATATCCCCACCCACGTGACCATTTAATCAAGAAACAATGAGCTCACGTATCCGCTTGGCGCGGTTGACTACGTGCGGTGCGAAAGAAGTTCAACACAAGCAACGTTCATTGTGGGCACTTAACTCGGGAGACTGACAAAGCGTGATGCAGTTTGGTCAAATAACGCCCATGACTGACACGGGATTGGGGGGGGGGGCTTCACTCCCACAGTGGGCTGACACAAGTGTATCACGTGATTTTGAATATTCGTTACTTCTCATAATATTATAATCAACAAATAAATACTTTAAACACCACGTACATGGCGCGTCGCAGTGGTGGCGCTATTGTGACGTCAATGCGGTGACGTCAATGCGGTGACCGTAATCAACGAATCTGACGGTGACAATGCAGCGACGTCACGAGAGCGCCACAGCGCGCTCCTGAAAGTGGGTTTAAAGTATTTTTTTGACTCAACGACGATTAAAAAAAAGAGTCGTACTCGTACAGCCTGGGGTACAGCGCGGATACGCGTTCACCAGTGGCGAAGTAGCGTGGTTGGCCATGGGCATAGGTGCAGAAAACGAAATGGAGCCAGTCCTTCTCCAGTCCAATTTACCCCCCCCCCCTCCTCCCCCCTCTATTTGCAGCCCGGCATCTGAATCTATCGGTGTGTGGGCCCTGGTCCAGTTGTACCGCCTGCACACTCGATAGCAAAACCACTGACGTCCCCGAGATAGCAGTAGATCTGTCTATGTTTACATTTCGGCTTCCTTTCCAATTTATTTGAGTGAAGGTGGCTGAGTCTGCTCAGGGATCCGAGCGTTGAGCCTGTACTGCAGAGATTCTGAGATTTAAGTTTTAAGGGTTGATGGTCTCGGGATTAAGGGTTGATGGTCTCGGGACGATCACCAGTGATTGTCTTGTACAGTAGTTCCATAAACCTACAGAGACACATAGACTCACATAGTACCCATTGACTCACACCGAGACTCACATACGTACCCAGAGATGCACAGATTACAGAGACACATATACTCGCATAGAGAGCCATACACGTAGATACCGACAGGGACCCTTTGACTGAGATAGTGAGATGATGGTCTCAGCCGGGTCACCAATAAGTGAACTAACAATAATAAGGTTTTTACTTAATTTGACAACATTTAATCTTTGAGAATTACAAATATTAATATATCGTGGTGACTGCCAAAAATGTCAATGTAGCAAGGGGTGTGTAAAACTGCGCCCTCTAGTGTGCGGATTTAAATACATCCCCTAAATAAATCCCATAAGAAGTTCTCTGAAATCTTCATTCGGGGACAATTCTCTAATTCACGTGGTGACGCTCCGTCTCCGCTAGACTGGACACGTCACCTCTCAACACACGACTCCGACACACCGCTACGAGGGAGAAAACAACAGCAAAACAACTTTCCCACGAATTCATCGAAAAGTACGTCCCCCTCCTTGCCAATACGCGTACGGTACCTGCCACAGGGGGGCCCTTCCTGGGACTCGGTGGTCCACTGTGCTGCTGCTGCTGCGCCGCGCTGGTGGTGGTGCTGGTCGCGTCAGACGCCCCCCCGTAGCAGAGCGGTCGGAACGGCTCGAAGGAGGCGCACACGTACGAAGCGCCGTCTCGCAGTGCCTCCACTCCGCCCGTGACGAGAGACCCCCCCAGCGGGGAGTAGACCCGGCGCACCCCGTGGGGCATAGGCACGGCGCGCGACAGGTCCGTGAGCAGCTCGGACCAGCTGGCGTAGCGGTGCGGCGTGATGTGCAGGGAGCGCGCTCTGAAGTGGCGGTCCCCGTTGCGGTAGAAGCGCACCACTTTGGGCCGCCGCACATCTCGGTAGCGCTCATCCGTGAGCTCGCGAAGCTCGCGCGAGGCGGCCTCGTGCGCCTCCTGCCTCGGTGCGTGCATCGTGGCGCCTCCCGCGCGCGTCCACGCTGGAGGCCGAGCGCACGCGCCCGAGAGAGATGGAGCGAGGGAGAGTGGAGCGCTACTTTGGTTGTGCCGCCCGTCCGTCCGTCGCCGAGCCGGAGATGTTGGTAAGAGGTTCGGGAACAGGAGTGGCGCGCAAGTGCTCACGCACACTCACGCACGCGCACGCCCACACTTAATTCCTCGTGTTGTTTGGATCCGGTCTCTTGTTGTTTGTTGTTTGTTGTGGTGAGATTCACCAGTGCCACAAATCCATGGAGTCTCCAGCACGCAGCAAGCAACGCCGGTCATCCATCAGAGCTCTGATCCTGCGACGAACGACACGCGGCATGATCGCGACACTGCGCGCAAATTCGGGCACGAGCACAGGCAAACACGCATTGCACACACGCTCGCGAGCATACACACACGCTCACTATACACACACACGCGAGCACACATGCTGGCTGCCCAGGTACCCAGTGCCGATTGGAATGCACGTTCAGTCCGCGTTACACCCCTGTGTGTGTTTGTGTGTTCCTCATCATCCTCTCCGTTGGGAGAAAAAGCGTCGCGCGCCGGTACATTTAAGTTCCCCTTGGCATCCCAAAATGAATTAATGATTGCACATCGATGTCCGCAAATCGATTATGGTTTTGGGAAAGGTACGGATCGAGGAATGTGGGACGAAGACGCACCAAATTGGGTGGCCGTTTAAATGAAATACATTTGTGCAATTTCCCACGGCGTAAAAATCCAACAGTGCAGTGCACCCCGCTGGCAGACTGCACTCTGCACGCACGCGGTTCAAATGCGAATTCCGGAAGGGGGGGAGGGAATCCCCATGCATTATTTTTACTCATGCATCTCAATTTCCGAGAGAGCTGCCATCATGTGGATTGTCATAGCAACTCCTTAGTATCTCCCTATAATCTCCCATTGCATTCCCTACACTCCTACAGCATTTCCCAAGCATCCCGATAGCATCTCCATAGCATCACCATAACATCCCGATAGCATCTACCATAGAATATCTCATAGCGTCTCTAAAAACATATCCCATAGCATTCCCATAGCATCTCGCATTGCGTCCTCCACAAAATCCCCATAGCATCTTCCTAGCATTCCCCATATCATTTACAATAGTAT